TTTTTTGCTTCTTCATTGATTGACAGTTTACCCCCATTATATACATTCTGAATAGCAAACCATAATTCAATCTGCAATAATATTAAAGCAATCAGAACTGACAATAAACTCTCTATGATAGTTGCCTGAAAACCACTAAGTCAAAAGTCCAATGGTGTTTAATACAGTACTAAATTGTATTGAGGCCAATGAAATGCATTTTTGAATAGGTATGCATAGATTTGAGCTGACTAACTTTTTCATTCCCATAGTAAGAAAACAAGATCAGCTGTATATTTTTTTAAAGTCCTTCAGAAATAAGCTTCCCGATAGTATTGCAAATGTGGCTGTTTTTCTTGTACCATTTTTTAAGTTATAAAAATTGAAAATGTTCTCACAGAACAGTTAGAAAAACAGTTTCTTTTCTCAGAAATGATTGGGAAATGCACAGCACTTTGAGCTTTTATAAGCTTTGCATAACAGAAGAAGCCTACTGAGAACATTCAAATTCTGTAGAAGTTGTAAAAATATTTGGAAGTAGTAGGCATTTCACTCCCTGCATGGTATTCTCATTTTAGCTGCTTGAAATGATTTGGGGGAGACTTCTTCTTTATTACTTCTTGTCACTTATATATGTTGGCTTTCCAAATTTTGACATTGTAAGTTTCCCTAATTTCTCCTTTCCTGTTTTTTAAACCATAAAACTCTATTTGTTTCTCATCTTCCATACCGATTTTGACAATGACATATCCAGTTCAACAGCCTGCTCTGTTCACCCAACAATTGACAATGAAATACTTGGTCTTAGAGATGTTTAAGGCAAACTGTCACTGAAGACTTAACCATGCATTAATTTGTTTGATCTGCTTTTAAGTTAGGGCCTCTTACAACCATATGTAGTAGCAAATTCCATAGTTTAATAGTGCAAGATAGATGTCCTTTTGGCTGTCTTGAATTTCCCAATATTCAGCTTTATTGTAGACCTCCAGGCTCTAATATATAAAAGAATAAGAAAAAAAAATCCCTTATCTGTTTTCTCCATGCAGTTCATAATTTTATGAGCATGTACTTCTGCTGACTAATCTTTTTTCCCTAAACTTAAAAAGGCTCAATTATTGTAACTTATCTTGAGGAAAGTTGATCCAGTTCCTTATTAGTTCTTTAATTTTTCCAATTCTACAATATACTTTTTGAGATACTTCTGTGTGTCTGCAGCCTTCTTTTAGAAATTGATAACTGAAAAAGTATAATATTGACTGTTTTTTATCTTTATCATCTTTTTTTGTGTTTTTCACAGTTGGCTACTCCAAGTTGACATTTTCATTAAATTTACCTATCGTGGCCCCAAGATCTGTAACTCATACACTGTCATTGGATGGATATAGTTATTTTTTTCCATGAGCACCATTTTGTGTTTATATTAAAACATTTTCATGCTGTTGCTATTTATCCAGCTTGGAGAAAGCCCTTCTGGAGCACTTTGCAATCTGTTTATTTTTATTACTTTGCATAATTTGGTCTGATCAGCAAACATGGCCATCTCACTACTCACAAATAACTTTAGATTAAGGGTGGCCAAGCCGTGTTTCTAACCATGTTGCTGAATTACAGTTTTCCACATGTTTTGCCATTAGATATTGTGAAAGTTATACCTGAGCAACACCTGGAGGGGAAGGGGCTCCCTACCTGCTTTACTTGTTGAAAACACTAACTTCAGACAAATTCTTGTCTCTATTTCCTTCTCATTAATTTCATGTCATTTATTTATCTATAGATATTTATTAAGAAATAAAGCCTCAGTGTACAATGTTGCTTAGATCTTTATTCAAGTTTTATTTGTAGACAACACGATAACTAGCAGTAGTGACATACTCATTGAAACAGTTACTGACAACGGAAGCATTTTCTCTGGATTTATATCCATAAATCCAGCTGATACATAAAATCTATCTGTTCTGCAAAGATAACCATACTTATTTTCATATAGTGGTTATCATTATTTCCAGCTAGCTCTCTTAATCCCTGGCCAGAAAGGTGCATGTATAGAAAATCTACAATAGGTAAATGGAGATTTTACACATTTCATCTATAAAAGACTGCATCTTACTTAGTTATGTTTCAAGAAACATATATAGAATTGCTCCTGAAGACTGAAAGCATCAGGGCCTAATGGGGCAAATAGACAGTATAGTCTACAATGGTTTATTTTTTTTCTGGATAAAATCAGCAATAGCCAGTGGGAAGAGATTTGGCATTTCATAATAGGAAAATGCTGGTGTCAGGATGCCCTCTGCATCCATGATTTTGTCCTTGAAGGTTGTTCCTTTTTCTTTTGTTTCCCAAATTGCTGCTGCTCAGTTGGAGCTGCTGTGCCTTCAAAACACATTACTTTGTTATGCTGTTACCCAAAGAAAAATAAAAGAAGGGAAGGGAGACCATAAGAATCCATTATACCATGTTCTCTGATATTAAATGGTTTTGTATAGTATTTTTCCATCCTCTGGCATGTACAGCTTGCTGTTTGACAAGGGGAAAGTCTAAGATTGGTATTCAGGGACATCAATTCACCTCCAGCTGCCCTTATATTATCACGAAGGAACAGCCTTTCCACACAGCAAGTCAAAGGCAGTTTTTAGAAAGACATGGAAGGAACAGCCTTTTCACACAGCAGGTCAAAGGCAGTTTTTAGAAAAGCATGGAAGAAGCCCACTGCCAGAAACAACATTGGATAAATATTCAGTGTTGGGTATTTACATTGTTTTCCATAAGCTACTTAGGCTGCAGTGTTCAAAAATCTATTTCTGAAACTGCTTCAAAAAGCTTGCCTTTATTTTGAAACAATAATATTACTTGTGCATTGTACAAAGTCTGTGGAAAGATATACACGATGCAAAAATAGTAAGGGTTGTCTGCTTTATCTATATTTACCTACCATAGCCAGACTACTATTTGCACATTGAATGGCGTCATGTGTCTTTGATGTGTGTTGATAATCTATAGCAATGTTTCTCAGACTGATGCCCTCCAGATTTTTTTCCATACACATCCATTTTTGTTTGGCATAGATAGAAGGTTACATGTTATTGCCAATTAAATAGAGTTGAGGTTGTTCTCAGCATGGATTCAGTCTTGCTGCTTACCGCAGCCAGATTTGCAAGCCATTCTGTGCCATGGTTTTTTTTCCCTATGGTATGCCGAGTAAATCACAAATTCTATTGGAATAACGCAATATGTGAGTTCAGACTGTTTTACAATATTGGAGTCCTCTTGGTTGCCATCTTCTATATCTTGCTACTCGCTGTGTCTGTTGGACCACAAATTCCATAATTTGATTCATGGCTACACTGATTTGGAATTAAAGGGTTTCCTGGGGTAATTGGATTGATAATAGCTGGATAATACTAATTGGAAATTGCAGGGAGTACGATTCAACATGTAGAATGCACCAAGTTGGAGAAGGTAGTTTTTGTAAATTTGTGTGTATTTTTGTATATGCAAAGACATAAGTGAAGAGAAACTAATTCTAAGAGTTCATGATAAGGATGTAGGTGGAGACCATTACCTTGCTGAACTAATTGGTTTTTCTGATGCAAATTACAGTCCTATTGCCACTAGTACTTCAAATGCTATGATAGCAGTGGTCTGTAGATATTATAAAAATCGAGACAGCTTGCTGTTGCATAGTTTCCATTTATTTACTCTAAATATTTTCCCTCTTTTTTTTCTTACAGACTTTTAATCATATTAGTCTGTTTCAGTGTCTGTTTTGGGCTGGCTGTGCCACCACCTTCAGCTATGTACCATCTGCTGCTAGTCTCAATATCCATTGAATTATATGCACAGTGGGAGAGATGAGGACAGTGTGCTACGTTTCAACCACTGGATTGGGCATATGTGGGATTTCACAGAATACTTTTCTGATTAAGGCTTAGGGGCATTTCATAAATATCCTGAGAAAATGAGAATCTCAATTTCAAAGGTTTCTTCTGACCACATGGCATGCTCAGCTTGTAAAAGTAGAGGGATGTTCTGAGAAGCAAAAATCACATAAATTAAATAACTGGCCAGGCACTTAAACACTCAAAAACCTTGTGTTTCTATATCTATTTCTTTTTACATCCTCTGCACCTTTGACCTTAATTGTCTGTCTGGGTGTTGTAAATCCACCTTTACTGCCTTCTCTTGTACAATACTACAGTTATGCATTTTATTTATTTCTTCAAAACTATGGGCGCCCATCTCAGTCAATGACTAGGTGGTTTATAAATCTGAAAAGATATAATGATTAATTTTTTAAAAAACTGAACAATAAAACCAGTAAAAAAGATTAAAAACATCCAATTCAGCATACTCAAGAGCAAGATATTTGAACATATGAATATCTTACTATATATGCACATACTGTATATGTATACTGTAGATATTGAGCTATAGATAAATATAAATACCGTATGTAGAGTTAGTGTAGTATAGTGACTAAGGTATTGGATGAGGAGAGGAGAGGAGAGGAGAGGACTAGATTACACTCATGATTTCTTCTATTAGGCATAGAAGGTGGCTTGGTAGGCCAATCACTTTGTCTCAGAGAGTGGGAGACCTAAAATGAGAGCTTGGAAAGCTTCTATCTCTCATACGTGAAGGTAATTTGCCACTGAAGGTAATTTCAGAGGAGAGTCTTTCATCATGCAATGAATTAATTTTACCTAATGATTAAAATTAGATATAAAATCTGTGAGATGTAGGTTGCTTTTTTTCACAAGACACTGACTGCAATGAGAGAAAGGTCCCTGCAAGGAATGTTAAGATATTGAACATATGAGAAGAAAATATGAGTGAAAAAACTGTCCATAGGCAGTTGTTTGGTTTAAGAATTTTATTATGGATTGGTCATGGTATTTCCTATTCTGAACATTTACTGTATTCTATGCTTAGTGTTTTTTTTTCCTTTTCCAGAAGTATTTTGTAGAAGGTTTGAATTTGTTGGCGCTCCAATTTCTTTCTTTGTTCATCTCTTTCAACAGATCTATGATGAGAAGAAGAATTTATTTGAAGTAAGAGACAACATCCCTGAAAAAATCGTGGAGAAAGTGGCAGGAGACATTGAAAGTCTCTTGGCCAAGAAAGTCCAAGCTTTAAAGGTAACATGGCTCCTGAGTTTCGGTGTTTCTGATGAAACAGGAAGGAAGCAAGCAATCGAATTGGTACCCATGATGATGTTCTGATATACTCAGGAATTGATTGATACTTTATACAAGTTTCAGAGAACGTTTCTTAGAAATGGGTAATGTTAAACAATGTATTTGCACAGCTCTTCCAAATATTTTCTTCTTTGCACCTCTCACATATACAATTAAAGATGGTGTGAAATGTTTCTGATAGCCCTTTCTTCTATAAGTGGTCTAAACTCTCTCAGGCTCTAGCTTACTTTGGGCTCTTGAAATGAGTGGCCTTTTCTACTCCTTTGGAAGGATGTTTTGCAAAATGTGAGTGTATAATGGGAGGATGAAGCAGAGAATAATAGCAATTGTTTGCAGTTAAATCTGGGCTTTCAAGTAGGTTTTCAACCTAACTTTTCATTTTTGTATAATTCCCTTCCTTGTTATACAGTGCCAGAGTGGATCAGCATGTTTAAAGCTCTAATATTAGATGGACCTGACTTTTCCTGTGACAACATTCAATATGTACATTTTCTGTTTCATCTTTTCTACTAAGATATCACACTGAGGATTCTCAGTTAGTAAATTCTCAGTTAGTAAATCTCATCTGCCATCATCTGCTGATGATGGCAGATGAGATTCTGCCGAAACATTGCTACAACTTTAAAAGCACAACTATAATAAACGTGGGAAAATACCCAAACAAAGCTGAATACCATACATGTAAGTACCCATGGAAACTTAAGAAAACAAATATATATATATATATATATATATATATTTGTTTTCGTAGATTTTCACGGGTATAGGTACGTATCTTGGTGACGTTTTGGCAAGGTCCCACTCGCCATCCTCAGGCTGGTGCTTTCGGCTTCATGCCAGTGCAAGCAGTGTGTGATCGGAGCTGCCGTCTCTCTATAAATACTGGTGGTGGGGGCTGGTGTGCTGGGCTGGTTGGCTGCGCTGCTGCCTCTTGATTGGTTGATGGAGTTGATGTTGGCATAATGGGCTGTGTGACGGCCTTGTGAGTTTTGTTGTGGAGATATCCTGAATCTTGTGCTCTAATCTCCTGGGTCGTTTGTTTTGTAGTGATCTTTTTTCCATTAGCCTCTCGTGTTTTAACGGCTTGGGTAATGGGTTGTGTGATGGGTTTGCGAGTTCTTTTGTTGTGGTATCCTGGGTCCTGCGTTGTAATCTCCTGGGTCGTTTGTGTTTTGAACTCTTTTCCATTAGCCTCCTGTGTAGTAACGGCTTGGGTAATGGGTTTTGTGATGACCTTGTGAGATTTATTGCTGTAGTATCCCTGGTCTTGGACATGAAATTAATTTTGAAGGAACCAAATTAATAACCAACACTGAACACTCCAGCAAGAGAATAATCAGGGAAGCCATCGAGATAGAGAAACACCCCCATAACATGAATAGACGGGATGATACCTCCCGCTTACCAGACATCTGGAAGCTAGCCCTCACCAACAAATGAGTCCCAGCCATGAAAATCAACACCAGACCCAAAACAACACGGGACACCACCACGAATCCCCCTCATCAGACCCAAGCCCAAGCCCATCCTACAAACAAAAGACAACTACCATCCAGAAAACAGACCACGGCTGCTTTGCCAGCTGTTGTATCCCCAACCCCAAAACCAAACAAGCTGACACACGCCAAGAACACAGACCCAGACCCCAAACTCAAAGCCAGACTAAAACCCAGAATGCTACATCACAGCCACCCGCTCAGGACATCACATCAGAAAACTCAGGAAATTACACCACAAGAACTCAAGAAGTTGCAACACAGCAAATGACCCAGGATATCACAGCACAAGACCAAGAACACAGCAAACTCCAAGACCAATAAACACAGACCAAGACTCCCAACCAATCAAGATGAAGAAAAAAAACCATTCTGGCACAGCAGTAGGCTAGCCTCAAATTTAAAACTGAAACGGCTGTGAAAGTCAGACTCACAGACAAACACAACACATAAGCCTGATGATGGCAGATGAGATTCTGCCGAAACATTGCTACAACTTTAAAAGCACAACTACAATGACATGGGAAAATACCCGAACAAAGCTGAATACCATACATGTAAGTACCCGCCAAAACTTAAGATATATAGATATAGATATATAGATATAGATATATAGATATATGGATCTTTGGTTATTTGGGTTTTCTCCCACGTAAAATTGGAAGTATCTAGGCAACGTTTCGATGAAGTCTCATTCATTATCTTCAGGCTTGTGTCTTCGGCTTTGTGCTTTCGGAATAATGTGAGCTTGCAGGTGCTTCTTCCTTTTAACTGCTAGTGGGGATGTGACTTGATTGGGTGGGGCTTGGCTGTGTTCTGATTGGCTGGGGGTGTGTTCTCATTGGTTGGGGTTTGGCTGTGTTCTGATTGGTTGGGGTTGGCTGTGTTCTGATTGGCTGGGGGTAGTGAGGATTAGTGTGGGAATTGTAAACTACCCAAGAAGATAATATGAAGAGAGAAGGCAAGAAACTTGTGCTTCCTTAGGAGCAGCAACTGCTGGGAAGGGCATTCCTAATTACACAGGCAACAACAGAGCAAGTGTCAAACTCTTTCAATTACCTTTCAACTATTTATGTTATGTCATGCATAAGATGGACATTGTCAAGATTTCATACCCTCTAGATCCAACAGCTGATCCACACATTTATAAAAGAAAGGAAAAGGAGCTGCAAAGTTCCAGATTCCCTTGAGGCCAAAAAAAAGATGATGGGTGGGTAAAGAAATCAGGCACCAGAGTGAAGATACTGGATTCATAGGAAGTCACTTGGAGTGAGAACATTGTTGATATGGCATATATTGTTTCAGGTTGCCTCCCTGATGCATATTAATAAGTTCTACATTGGCTACACATAGTTCCTTCTGGCAGGATATTAAGGAAAATATTACCTCAGAGCATGCTGCCGTACCTTAAAAGCATCCCTGGATTAACTCAGCTACAGGTAGAAGCATGCCGACTTGGGGAACATTAGTAGGTCATCTTCAGGCTAAGAAAAGAAAGATGTGTTGATGTTCCCCATACCAGTGGATTTGTCTCACATTTTAAAGCCATGTGTTAACTTTTTAAGCACATTTCAAAGAAAGGCAGTGCCCACTAATATTACTATTAATCCTAGCCACACTTTTACTTATATATATTGTACAATGTCATGCCTATTATGCAAACTATATATATATATGCAGTTTGCATAATAGGCATGACATTGTACAATACCAGAACCAATGCCATCCCATCCAGCATACATAAAGAGTATGATCCTCCAGTATTAGTTCTGCTGCATCTATCCTTTAAAAACAAAAGTTTAGTGCCTCCCCTTTCCTTGGATTTTTTGAAACATGGGTGTTACCTCTAAGTCCCTCTCCAAATGGATCCTGGTTCCATCACTTTTGGAGTGTGGTCCTTGGCATGGCTCACAAGGCTTGGCATATGACCTGAACTCTGTGTATTTCCATCTCACCCACCAATGTGGCATTTCCAACCCGCACCCCATTTTCTGCTCCATGTTGAAAGTAGTGCTGCTCAGTGTTAAAGGTTGCTTTCTGGTTTTCCTGCTGAGCTTCAAGTGCTGTGCTCTGATCTGGCAGTGTGCAGAAACAGGAACACCTTATCTGGGTCAGTGGTCATCACTCTGTAACAGCCTAATCTTGGCTGCAGCTACTATTACCATGGTGTTTTAGTAGCATAATGGCCATAGCACCTGTGTGTGATATAAAGAGTACTCAAATCCCAGCAGAGCTACCTATTTATTTGTTGGTTTTAATTTTTTAATAAGTCCACTGATACACGATTCCAACTGTTTTTCCAGTTTTACTTGGGAAAGATTTCATTCCAGTTCTCAAATAAGTCAGATGAATAAGTACTGCAGTTACAATTAACTACCATAAGTACCTGGAAAACAAAATAAAAAGGCTTCTTATTCTTCCTCTTCTTCTTCTCCTCCTCCTCCTCCTCCCAAGTATCTCAGACAAAAAATAAATTAAAACGCATATGCTGATTTCAAAGATGTAAAATTCTGCACATTAAACAAGTGGTATAACCACTCTCCTGCTGAGAGATTCTTTTGTCTGTGGGAGTCTAATTTAATTTTGTATGCATATATTTTGTTGTGTGAGTATAGATGTAAAAGTGTATATATCCAGTAAGATGTGCCCGCAGAAGAGATTGGCAGTTGGTTTCCCTATAAGGAAATTTGGAAAGGTATAGTAACTGGGGAGTTGCCCAGCTGGGGACATGCTAGCTGGCAATCTAGTTTGAACATCTGGCAAATTGCTGCCAAAGCCCTCAAACCAGACAGAATTTTCTTAAAGCAGTATAGAAGTCAGCTGGCATCAGTATGCAGTGCAGCTGCTTTAAGGATGCAGTATTGTCACAGTGTAAGTCTGTAGTTCTTTCTATTAACACTTGATTCTGCTATATTAGAAGTCCTTCTGTTTCACTACATAGCAGATTGCCCACTATAATTGACTTTGGATTTTGTTGTGGTTGCTTTTGCAATTTCATATATCTCCCAAAGCAAGATGTATTTACAATAGGGTATATATGCAGACCTCAAATTTATTTTTCCATCTTTGTACTGTAATTGAGTCATCCAGGGGCTTTTCCTTTTATTCACAATAAAAGAAAAGTTGTGAGTTATGATTTCTTTTTTCATGTACATATGAATTGAAATAATTAGGATGAGCTAATAGAAATGAATGAGATGAGCAGAATACGCATGACCTTAGTGCATTTCACTGCATTTATTATAGGAAGCCTTACTTTTCCTCTCTATGATATTCCTGTAAGAATTGGAGGATTATTTTACTGAAGAAAGTTTTACACTGAGTCAGCAGTGACTAAAATAGGAGATACATTCATGCTGATTTAAGATTTTATTTATTTATCAAACTTGTATGCCTCCCATTTTGCCAAAGATGATTCTAGACAGCTTACAGATATTGAATAAA